CGCCGCGTTGAGAACCACTGAGTTTCTTCAACTGAATGATTTTGCTTAATTTCTTTATGAATATGTTTCCTACACACCCGTTGCTTGGAAGCACACATCCACAAATATGGGCCATTTCCTTTGTTACACCTGATTTTTTCCCTGATGCGACCTCCGCAGGGAGTATATTTCCTTTTTTTTTTTTTAATTCCCTTTGCTGTTTTTTTTTTTCTGCTTTCTGTGTGAGACAATTTTTGTGAAAGAATTGAGGCAGTCGAAGATGCCCTTTGCTGACCATAAGAAGTATAAGATCCAGCGGGAGGAAATGCCCGCCGTTCCTCACTTTTCCGACTTCAATGACCCACGCTTCTGCTTTACGGGCAACAAGCAGAAGAATGGCATTCTTGCATACTATCAGTGGCTCCACTGCATTGGAAACTGGGGCGAGGAGCACTCGATGTGCAAGAAAATGCGCTGGTACCTCGAACGAATGATGCAGGAGTCTTGGCTGGAGAAGTGGGAAGAAAAGCGTGCCTTAGGACACTTCGACCACGTTATCCTCTACGGTGTAAAGCCATGGAAGGAGTTCGAGCCCTTGTACCAGCCCGTGAAGAAGAATCGAAAGGGCGCCTATGAGTTCTGGCTGGATCGCAACTTTGAGCCTCTGTACGACGCGGATGCCGCCGACTTCCGGGAAAAGGCGCCCATCCTTCACGACGTCTTTGTGAACGGTAAGAAACCTGTCTATGACTGAGTAGGAGGCGTTGGGAGGCAACGCAAAACAAGAAGGGGGAAAAAATATGAAAGAAAACGAAATCCCAACGAGTCGGGAAGAAAGGAAAGGGGATCACAAATAAAAAAAAGACAAAAAAAAGAAACTGATACAAAAATAGTGATTAGGAAAGCTTGCATGCCTTTTAGTTTAGTGTTGGCAAAGCATGGGGAATGAATATCTCTCTAGGAAATGGGTGTGCTATTAGGACTCGTAACTCTTTGAACGGAGTTGCAGGGGGGAATTGTGTGCCTTCATTGTTGGCATTGACAAAATGAGAGCTGCACCTGCACCTGCAGCAGCAGCAACAAAAACAACAGCGAATGATATCATGAATCTGCAGCAGAACAGACACGCTACCATCTATCTTTCTCTTTTTTTTTTTCTGGGTGTTTGTTTGACACGCAAAGGTTATTACAAGAGTTCAAAAATACTTCTGTTTGTCTTTCTTTTTTGAGTTTTTTCGCTTCCACTCACTTCGTTTGAATTATGTCTGAGTCCGCGTATGGCCTGACAACCTTCAGCCCTTCGGGGAGGCTTGTGCAGATTGAGTACGCAACCACGGCGGCGGGTAAGGGCACAACGGCCCTGGGCGTCAAGGCGATAGACGGAGTTGTCATCGCTGCAGAAAAGAAGACGGCATCGCCCCTTGCTGACTCCTTGACGGTGCAAAAGGTGTTTGTTCTTGACGACCACGTCGGCTGCACGTACAGTGGAATTGGACCTGATTGCCGGGTGCTTGTCGACGCTGCCCGAAAAGCATGCCAGAGGTACCGTCTGACGTACCATGAGCCGATGCCGGTTAGTCAACTCGTTCGTCAGATCAGTTCCCTTTACCAAGAGTTTACGCAATCTGGTGGGGTTAGACCCTTTGGCTGCTCGCTCCTCGTCGCTGGGGCCGACTGCCAGGGCAACCACCTCTACCAGTTGGATCCCAGTGGCACGTTTTGGGCGTGGAAGGCCACCTCGATTGGCAAGGGAAGCACGGACGCCAAGACATTCCTGGAGAAGCGCTACACAAATGAGATGGAAATAGAGGATGCCGTGCACACAGCCCTTTTGACTCTGAAGGAGGGTTTTGATGGGACGATGACGGCAGAAAACACGCAGGTAGGACGGGTGAGTGAGGGCAAGTTCGAGATCTTTACCGTTGAGCAACTGAAAGACTACTTGGACCAGATTTAGTGTCACAGGCGCGAGACTCTTCTCTGGGTGGGTGGGTGGGCGTTTGCCGCACTCTTTCCCCCGCCCCCGCCCCTCTTAGGGGAAGGTTTTTGCCTGCAAAGGCAAAAAGGAAAGAGCGGAGGGAAAAAAGAAAACAAGGAAAAAAAACTGAACGGAGGAAAAAGAAGGAGGGAAATCTGCTCAACCCAACTCAGGCAGAGGAAAAGAAAAGAAACCATTGAGCGACAATTGAGATGTTGGCAATCATGCTTTGTTAAATGCGTCGTCTTCACAAGGCCAATGGCGCCTCTGTGTGTGTGCGTGTCACTGTGCCAGTGCGGCGTTAATGTTAAGTGTTTTTTTTTCCTCTTTTTACTTTTGCTTTGTGTCTTGTTCTCGTGGAGTAGTGATACGCGTATGCTTCGAAAGACACTAGCATTATGGGATTCTTCGATGAAAATGCAGTGCCTTAAGAAGAAGCTGCGGGCACGCTGTGTGTTGCAGTGCAGCGACAAAAGGCTCTTGACAAAGAAGGAGTTTATCACGCTATGCACGACAAATCCCTATGCACCCACGAATGAGCGCATGACTACAGATGAGGCGGAACAGCACTTGGAGAGGCTTCAACAGGCGCGGGAAGTGATACTAATGGGTGGGTATGTGTATATTAGGCCTTCTGACGTCGTAAACGTTGTAAATCACCGGCTGCAGCTCCCGACGCTCACTCGAGGAGCTCCGACTTACGTGCAGCAAAGCGCCACCCAACAATTAGTTGCGGTTTCTAAAGCCAAGAAAAAAGGTGCGGTTTGTAGTCGTGATTTTTGGGCGATGGTGTCCTTACTTGGTGCGACGCAAATGGCAATCTTAGCGTATCTGACGTTTCTCGTGTACGGTTGGGATGTCATGGAGCCTGTGTGCTATTTTGTGACGACCTTCACGGCGTTGTGTGCCTTCGCCTATTCCCTTGTCTGGCGGAGAGATTGCACCTTTCACGTTGTAGAGGGTCAGTTATTTCCGTCAAGTGCGGCGCCCGAGACTCATGGCAGGTCCATCGTTAGACAAAATTCTTTGGGCGATCTAACAACCTCTGCAGGCAAGAGTCCTTTTGAGTCTGCTTCCTGGGATGATGAGGAGCTTTCCGAGTTGCTTGAAAACTGTGATTTCACCGCTTCTGTTGCCGCTGGGGCTGTAAAGGAGAAAAAGTGAGGAAATTGTTCCTGCCGTGCCTGCCGCTCTCGTTGCGTCGGCCCCCTCCCTCGTTCTCTCTCCCTTTCATATTCGTCTGTTTGTTTTTGTTTGTTTGTTTGTTTGTTTGTGTGTGCTGCTTCTTCCACCTCTTCTTTCTGTTGCTTTGTTTTCAGGTGGTGCTCCTTGACTTGTTTTCGTGTCGCGTGGCGCAGCTCCACACAAGATTCATTCTGAGGTGGCCTTTCTTTGCCGTGCGTGTGCGTGTTTGTTTGTTTTTTCTTTTTGCTTCTATACTTTTCGTTTGCCTTTTTTGCAGCTCCGGTTTTTTGTTTTGTTTTGTTTTTTTCCCCCCACTTGTTTCATTTTTTCATATATATATATATATATTTTCCCCTCCGTAGCTCTTGTTCTGCGCTCATTGCCCTCAATGTGGACTGTGCACGAAGATGAGTACCAGAGCACCGACGTAAAATTGCCCGGAGTTCTTCAGGGCGGGTGGAATGTCGAGGAAGACAAGACAGCCAAACCGATAGGCATCTACACGAAAAGTTCTCAGGTGTTCGCCACGCCCTCCATGACTCCCACTGACACCACCCCACTGAATGCGCACAAGCGCAACTCAAAGGCTGCCTGGACGCGCACTCACACGCCTGTTAGTTTTCCCGTACCAAACGGCCTGTTTAGTCCGCCTCAAGCTGCAATTTCTGCCCAGCCAAGTATGATGCGGGTGGATGCGCCGCCGTTTGAGCCGTCGCCGAAGAGCGTGGCCGCAACCGTGTCGTATGCCGCTTCGTCGCCCATGGGAAAGCGGAGGATGACGCCCACACAGGTGCCGCAAGTCAATGCACCTGAGAGTAGCAACTTACACATGCGCATGACGGTGGAGGATATTTCGGGTAGAGAGAAGGACAGGACTGCTGCTAATTACATGGAATGGAACAGTTCTGTTGTGAACTCGTCTCATCCGCAGGTATCCATACGTGGGTACAATGCCAGCGTTACTCCAGAAGGGTTGCGCGGCTCCGTGTATGAGATAGCAAAGGACCAGCATGGATGTCGATTTCTTCAGCGTCTGTTAGGAGGAACAAGCGGGGATGGGGAAATTGTCCGCGTTATCATGAACGAAATTGTCCCGCATGTGGCGGAGCTGATGACGGATCAGTACGCCAATTTTCTTATCCAGAAACTCTTTGACATTATGCCTCAGGAGGTGCGTTACAATGTTGCGCGCGTTGCTGCTCCAAAACTGACCTCCATAGCGCTTACACCGCATGGGACGTTCAGCGTGCAGAAGATGGTTGAAACCATTGCTTCACGTGAGGAGATGGATATTCTCCGGGAAGCTCTCTCAAAGGATGTTGTTCGCTTGGTAAAGGATGCTCATGGAAATCATGTCATTCAGAAGGTGTTGCAACGGTTCAATCATGCGGATAAGGACTTCATTTACGCGGCGGTAGGGTCGGACTGCATTTCTATTGCTAAAAACAAGCAGGGATGCTGTGTGCTCCAGCGTTGCCTTGAGTATGCGTCTTCTTCACAAAAGGCCACGCTAGTGAACCAGATTCTTGGCTGCTGCCTTCAGATAGCTGAGGATCCCTTCGGAAACTACGTTCTTCAGTACGTTCTGGAGTTCAACGACAGCAAAACGACAGACACGATTGCAATCGCATTCCTTCCACATTTAGTTCAACTTTGCATGAATAAATTCAGCTCCAACGTGATAGAGAAAGTGTTGCGTGGAGCCTCGCAGCCTGTGCAGGAAATGTACGTAGAAACCATGTGTTCCCCCAATGTTGTTTCACGGCTAATCCAGGACGATTTTGGCAACTACGTGCTTCAGACTGCGCTCACTATATGCTCCGCGGCCCAGGCGGAGTCACTCGTGTCTGCTGTTCGTCCCCTCATGCCCACCGTTAGAAATGCTCCGTATGCGAAGAAGTTGGAGGGAAAACTTGATGAAATTGTTCTAAGGACTGCCGGTATCGACCGTGTTTCTGCCATTGAGTACGAGGACAGCCGCCAAGGGGAGTTAACGGGGCAGGGCTACGAGTTGTTGTAGTCGCAACACGACAGGTAGCCTGCCGGTGGGTCAAAGGTGGTACCCCCCCCCCCCCAGCAAAACTATCCCGTTGACTTTATCGAATCCCGCAGGAATGATGGCGCCGGCCTTGACGGCGGCTGTACAGTCTGCACGTCTGTGTGTGTGTGTGTGCGAGGAGGGGGCGGAGTATTGCCTTCGTGGGAAACATATATATATATATTAACCTAAGAAAGTTGTGGAGAGGCAGAGAAAACCATTATTTCCGTTTCGCCTTGAAAAGAGGAATAATTTTAGTGTGGAGTGGAGCACATGTATACTCAAGAAGCGGGGAGAAGGCGACGTAACATCCAATTAACGGAGAGATACGAGGGAGAAGAACAAAAAACAAGAAACTAAAACAACATGTTAAAGGAGCGCCGAAGACAAGCACACAGAAGGCAAAAAAAAAAAGTGTAAAATAAGAAATACCCAGCAGAAGTGAGCGGAGAAAAAAAAAGGAAAATAAATATTTGAGCGTCGTAAGTGGGTGTGTATGGTGTAGTTTGCGGCAGCAACGCTGAGGGTCAATGCGAGACGCAACGTCACGAGAGGAGCTGGGTGTGTCCGCTTGCGTGTATTCCTTGCCCCGACGCATCCCCGCCGCCTCCGCTTTGTGTGATCTCCACGCAAAGGTCGTGTCACAGTCTGTGCAGTTGATCCGAGGTGTATAGGACAAACTGCGTTCATTACTATTGTTATTATTCTGCTCATCATGCTTGTTTGTTTGTTTTCCACTCGTTTGTGTGTATGTTAAGCCAAAAAAAAAGTTTGAATTTCCTGATGTTTGTGAAGTAACAAAAACTGAGAGAAAAATAAGGCTAAAAACAACAGGAGGGACTCCAATGCGGCAGTGGGCGTGATTGCGCCGTCTGTGTCTCGGCCCTTCTCTCTCTTTTTGTTGCCTCCAGTTCCTTGATCCCCATCTGCTTCCTGCCGCTCTACATATTTTGCGTGTGTGAGAGGAATAAGGAAGCAGGGGTCTGCTCTTCCACAGGAGGACTGCACGAAGGGCTCAGCGAAGAGCGGGGACCGTGTGATGGGGAGCGTGGTGCTAGAGCGCAGGTGAAGAGAAGAGGAGGCGGAGAGGCCGCATTCATGAGGTTGTCTTGGGCGCCACTGTAAACAGCCACTGCGCCACCACGAGGCCACAGCTGAAAAAAAAAACGCTGAAGAGGCGTGGCAAGCCTGCCCTTCTCCTTGTGTGTGGGGATGCTGGGGACTATACAGTCGTGCGTCCTTCGCTGCGTATCCCTATCCCAGTTTTATACCCACCTCTGTGGCGGGGAACGTGGCATCAGCTGTTTTTCAAAGGCAGATAGTATACGCGCCATGACTGCGTTGCTGCTTAATCCTTGGTGTGAATATAAGAAGGGCGCGATGTAACGCTGGTGAAACACGGCGGTGCTCGCCGTTCCGTTCGCCGTTCCGTTCGCCGTTCCGTTCGCCGTTCCGTTCGCCGTTCCGTTCGCCGTTCCGTTCG